AGTTCTTATTTATACTAATTGTTCTTAGAACAATCTTTGAAGGAAAAATATATGAAGGAAATTTTTTTATGGACTTAATTTTTAATAGGCTACTGAATTGCAACAAACATGTGGAAATACTAGCTAAAACAGCCATAGCTGAAACAAAGCCAAGTGAGATCCAATAATTATGGTTGATGCTAAGTTGGATGAGTCTCTGTGTTGAAATAAGAGATAAATATTTTACAGGATTTTAGTAAGGCATATGTGTGAAAAAAAGGAGAGAAGCAATTATTACTTTTTTTGGCATTGGTCAGGCTTCAGTTGGAACAAACTATATTTAATTTTACATGCCATCCTATATAAAGAGAAATAACTTGGAGAATGTTCAGAGAAGAGCAACTGATTAAAGGCCTATGAAATTAGACCTATGAGACACTGTTACAAGAACTGGGCATGTTCAGTCAAATGCAAGACATTCGGGTAGATGAACAATTAACTACAAGTATGTGAAGAGATGGTTCCCAAGTCTGAGGTTTAAATTAAATAGAAAGTTAAATCATGGGAGATTAAGAGCACAAAACAAAAAAACCCAGAGCAACGGAAGTAGAAACTAAGTATTGTGAAAACAAACTAAAAGGCTTTTAACAAATTGACAAATGGAGCGGTCTATACCTGGAATTCTGCATATGATTATTAAAATAAATTCAGTTTTGTACTTAAATAGAAATAACTTAGGAAATAGAAAAAGCATTTGATGGATTGCACTTAAAAAGTGAAAATCATCAGATCAAGTATGAAGAATGTTTTAAAGAAAAAAGTATGTATTTGTGGGCCTTCTTTGGGACCCAGGTTAGTGAGAACAGAAAGGAGCTCTGACATTGTCTCTGTCTTCTGAATGAGGGTAATTCCTCTGTGTGTGAGCGGGGAGGCAGCTTTTCTGGCCTCTTGGGATTGATTCATCAGGAATCCCTACCATGAGATACAAGATTCTTTCCAGAACTGTCCTAAACTCTTAAATATTACATCCCCTTTTTCCAATGAACATAATTACCTCTCTGAAGTATATTCTTTGGGCAAAGTAGACAAACATTTATTCTCTAGTTTGCACTTTTTTGTTGTTGTTAATCCTCACCTGAGGATATTTTTTCCATTGATTTTTTAAAAATATATTTTATTGATTTTTTTACAGAGAGGAAGGGAGATAGTTAGAAACATCGATCAGCTGCCTCCTGCACACCTCCCACTGGGGATGTGCCCGCAACCAAGGTACATGCCCTTGACCGGAATCGAACCTGGGACTCTTCAGTCCTCAGGCCGAGGCTCTCTCCACTGAGCCAAACCAGTCAGGGCTCCATTGATTTTTTTTTTTAGAAAGAGTGGAAGGGAGGGAGAGAAACATCAATGTGAGAGACGAGTTTGCACGCTGGGGATCAAACCTGCAACCCAAGTATGTGCTCTTGACTGGGACTTGAACCTACAAGCCTTTGGTACTCCAGCCAACGCTCTAACCACTGAACTACCGACCAGTGCTCTAGTTTATACTCTTTACTGCTAAAATGCAGAGGGAGAAAGATGAAACCATCGAGTTTGACCACTTTCTTTTACTTTAAAGCTTTTCTATTAGCCTGATAATTTATTTTTAACTTAGATGCAGATATTCTAACTAATTTAAGTGTTCTTGTTTCCTCTCTGTTAAGCACCTAAACTCTGCATCCATTTGTTTACTATGATTCTGATACCAATTACAAAATGTGGGTGTTTTCCCCACACCAAGCAATTCTCAGACAACAGCTGGGTGTCCTACAATTCAGCTTAATTCTGACACTATCTATCTGGAGACAGCATCAGATCCCAGAAGTTAAAGGGTTCAGTCCTATAAAACTTCCCCCAATCTCAGATCCAATCACCAGTCCCAGTTGTTACCTGTACTTCTGAGCAACTGGCTATAAATTAGAGGTTCCCACAACCCACTCCTTGGGTTTGATTAATTTACTAGAGTAGCTCAGAGAACTCAGAGAAACAGTTTACTTACTAGATTATTGGTTTATTATAAATGGATATAATTCCTCCAAGGAGCACTAATTCTTTGCTTTTCTTATGCCAGTTCCACAGCACCTCCCTACAACACACCTGACAAAAGTTAATGATCAATTCAGTAAATGCTGAGTTCTCTTGATTTTCATTCACCATAAAAGGGCCTGGATCCAAATTGTAAAAGCAGGTTGCACCCTCAGGTCATCGGTATCTTTGAGGATACCATACCAGCAGCTCTGGTGATAGAATAATATGCTATAGGGTTACACAGGGCTGGTAGGACATTCTGATGAAGCTGTTAATAAGATAAAATAAGTACATGACAGCATTGGGGTCTCTTGGGCCCCTACTAAAGACCAATACATATTAGTGATAAAGCAAATATGACATATTTGCAATATATTTAACTGGTGAAATCTAGGTGAAGAGTGTTAATCTGGATGCTCACTGTACTAATCTTTAGATTTCTTAAAATAAAAAGTTGGGATACACTGAATCTGAGTTTCTAGTTTTGGCTCCTTTTTGCTTATCTGGCTTCATTATACTGTTTTGATGTCTTCCCACCAGTAATTTTCTTGTTGTCAGTATGCTATTATTGTGCACGCTTGTTGGCTAAATCTTTAAGAACTAGAGAAATGTTTTAATGATTGAAAACCAAAATAACTACATATTATTACAATTCTGGCAACCACAGGCTTTTTAAAAGTTATTACATAATTAACTAGTTAACTTTGTTATTTTAAAAAATTGAATATGCAATGCATTCAGATGGCTTAAAGTCAATCGATACAAGAGGCTATACAATCAAGTTTCCCTCTACATTGTCCCGGGCACTCAGTTCCCCTTTTCAGAGGCAACTAATGCTATCAATTTCTCGTGGATCCATCTTTCTAGTGGTTCTCAACCTTGGCTGCACATTAGAATCACCTGGGAATCTTTTTACAATCCTGATTTCTAGGCCTCATCCTCCAGAAATTCTGTTTTTTTGTTATGGGGTGGGGCCACAACATTAGTAACAAAGAAACAGAATTTCCGGAAGATGAGGCCCAGAAATCAGGATTTTAAAAAGATTCCCAGGTGATTCTAATGTGCAGCCAAGGTTGAGAACCACTGTTCTAGAGATAAAGAAACTTGTTTTAAATTTACTAAAAAGATATGGAAAGAGCCAAAGATGGATATAGGAGACACTGTTTTCAATGTCATGAATGAACATTTTAAATTTTAGCAAATCTATATAAACACACCTGTGTTATATTTTCCACTAGCAAAAAAATGGTCAGGGCATTCGTGTTCACAAAAGATGTTACACAACACCTGATCTGGAAGTGAACCCTATAAATAATCACATACATTTGGTTCTATTCGCTCCTCTGCTGGGTGCAGTTTGAGGCTAATGTGTCCTGCAGGCACACACAGTGCACAGAGGTCAGGCTGGCACTTGTCCTATAGTTCAAGCCAATATCAGATAACAGCAGGCTTTAAAAATATACAGAAAAAAATCATCTCATTCATATGGCATAGCAAAGAATTGAGGCTCAACCATGTGCTTGTTCAACTGCCTGAGCAGATTCAAAGTTTTAGAGAAAAATGCAAGGCCAAATAATAACCCGGTCTTGTGGCACTTCTCGTCTAATTTCATAACAAAGTGGAATGGAATTTATCTGATCAAAAATATTACTGAACTGTAAATTTAAAAAAAGATGAATGTGAGTTTTATTTTAAATATCAATATTTACAATAAGAAATTACATTCTCAGTAAATATTTAAATTCATGATAAAACATTTAGGATGCCAATTTAAAATTAGGAAGGTGCATAGTGTTTCAAATTCTCTTGGAGAGACACAAATTTTTAAAAAATATATATTTTTTATTGATTTCAGAGAGGAAGGGAGAGGAGGGAGAAAGAAACATCAATGATGAGAGAGAACCATCCATCGGCTGCTTCCTATATGCCCCACAGTGGGGATTGAGCCTGCAACCCTGGCATGTGCCCCAACCAGGAATCGAACCATGATCTTCTGGTTCATAGGTTGACGCTCAACCACTGAGTCACGCCAGCTGGGCGAGACACAAATTTTTTAAGGATCACTGTTCTAACCTATGAATACGGTAATTCTAACCATTTCTGCCTCTGCTGGGGACTTTGAGCCCTTAAAGCAGGTGTGGGGAATGTCCAGCCGATGGGCCATATGAGATTCTCAAAATCATTTGGTCTGGCCTTGCCAAGATATTAGGGGTAAGTTAAGTAAATGTTTGACCAATATAGCAGGCTAATTTTTTTTTTTAAGCAGGCTAATTTTTAAGTTGATAATTTTTTATGGCCTACGGATGATGTTATAAATATCCAAATGGCCCTTGGCAGAAAAGATGTTCCCCACCCCTGTTTCAAATGGAAGGGATAATTGGTGGGGAAGGTGAGACTGGGGGGAGGCTGGGCAGAATCAGACCAGAGATGAGTATCTCTGCTTGTGATGTAGCCACATGATTATCCTCTCCTGGTGGCTAGGCCTGGTGCTGGTCTGTCCTTTATTACAACTCACCTCAAGGTCAACAGAGGATGAGGGAGTTTATGAAGCTCCATGGCCTTCAATTTCCAACTGAATCACACCCACATGACTAGAGCATCTCAGTTCTGCATCATGACTGAGAAAGACAGAACCTCCTGGGGACATCTTTACTTTCTCCCTTTTCCCTTCTCCACTGCCTTTAAGCTTCTTAGAGTGTACATGGGCAGTGCTATGTTCTGCTGATTTCACTCACATTTAAATTGAGTGTTGAGTACTAAGTAAAGAAATTGTTAAATTGTTCCTCTACAGCTGGGGAATCTGGTGGAAGGATATCTTCCCACCCTTGGAAGCTGCACATACATTTTCTCCTCAGGTGGATGTGGGGGAACCCGGGATTAGCTTTGCAGCAAAGATTCTGAGCTTCTGTTATTTCACTCTCTCATTTTGAGAGACAATCTCAAACACTAATGCAACACAATTTCTGGCAGAGAGCCTATTTTTATTTTTGGAGGGGTTTCTTACACCTTGTTGATTTTAATAACCACCATTAAACCACCATTCCACATTAGTGTCTGAGTAAGTCCCTATGCAGTTGGCCATTTCTCAGCAGCCAGGACTTAGATGCAGCAGATTGTCTGAGGTCTCTGAAGCTTGCTCTGCAGGTACTGTTTGCAGGGATCTTATCTTCAAGTGGTGTCTTTTTATAGGGTACGCTGGGCTTGGCCTGGCTGCTTATGGCTCAGTCTACCGTGATGACTGAAATTTGTTGGCCCTTCTCCCTCTCTTCCGCCTTCTTGAAGTAGTTGTAACTTTAGGAGAGTATTTTTTTCTTGAGGTCATGTGAAATGGTCTTTTTATCTTCTTGTATATCTTCAGAACCTGGTAAGGCAACAAGGTCAGCCTAGAGGGCTTTGGGTTGGAAAAAGAAAAGGGGGAAGGGAGGGAGGGGGGAACTAAGGAGGAGGTTTGTGCCAGGCAGAGGCAGGATTATCTGGGAAGGGTGGCAGGTAGAGGATATAAATGGGGGGAAAAAAGAAGAGCTTGGGTAGGGTCATCTGACCTTGTTATTGCGTCTTGATTTAGGTTGAGAGGGGGTCTTCTTCTTCTTCCACCGCTTGGTGCTTGTGGATTGTTGCTCCCGTGATTTCTTGGTCACTTTTGCCATGTTTAAGCTCTCAATTGTTTACCCCAAGGGTCCTGTCCTCTGTATATATACCCCTCCCCAGGGCAATGAGGAGTCACACCCCTTCAGCTTTGTTTTGTCATCAGGGCACTTCCCACAGCCAATGGTGGCTATGGGGAGCTCAGACATCACAAAGGATCACTCCTGAGGGGGGAGGGGATGCTAGGGAGGCCAAGATGCTCTGATTGGAAAAAAGTACCCACTAAAGAGCCTTCCCATACTGACCTTCCACCCTTCTTCCTCTCCCCATGATCAATTCTAATTGTGCACATGGCAGAGAGGGGTGTTTGCTCCAAGCCATTCCCCATGGTTCAATCTTATCTCCTACCATTCACTGTTACCTAATATTATGGCTATCTTATCTAACATCAGCAAGATACAGGTATGGCAGCCTGATCTGAAAAACCTAGGAATTAGAGAATTAGGGGAAAGTGTTTGAGGCATGGTGCCCTTATTGTAAGTTCAGACAAGAAGGCTTTGAAATATAACTCAGGGCAAGGTGGGCATGTACTGGTATGTGTGTATGTGTAATAGGGTTACTCATTCACAAGAAATAGGATTAAAGATATGAAATAAGATAAAATTTAGGTATATATATGTTTAGAGATATCATATCTCACTATCTTTTGGGGATCACATGGGAATTTTTGGAAGAAAATTTCAAAGTGACAAATTTTAACTTCAAATTTTGGAGACAGAAGACAAGCAGAGATCAGAAGTAGAAGCTCATTTCCAGATGAGAGCTCACTTTTCTCCCCATCTGTACCTGTCCCTCTACAAACAGTGATAAAGACAAACCTATGGAAACAGAAAGTAGATTAATGATTGACCTGGGCTGGCAGAAGACAAGGGGAAATAGAGACTGCTAATGGATATGTGGTTTCTTTCTGGGGTGATGAAAATGTTCTTAAAATTAGATTGTGGTGTTGCGCAACTTTGTAAATATACTAAAAACCACTGCATTATTAAAAAAAAATTACTGGAGCCCGGCTGGTGTGGCTCAGTTGATTGAGCATTGTCCCATGAATCAGGTGGTCATGGTTTGATTCCTCATCAGAGCACATGCCAGATTGTGGCTCGATCCCCAGTAGGAGGTCTGCAGGAGGCCGCAGATTGATGTTTCTCTTTCATCGATGTTTCTATCTCTCCTCCCTTTCCTTTCCTCTCTCTGAAACCAATAAAAACATATTTTAAAAAAATAACTGAAAACATTACTGGAGTATGATTCAGTTATATTTAAAATATGATTGTAGCTACATAGAGAGCAGAAACCAGGCAAGGCTAAAATTGTACACCTCGAATGGAAGCCTGAGGCTATAAAATTTGTAAGACACAAGAAGGGATCAAATGAACTAGCCCAGTGATGGCGAACCTATGACAGGCGTGTCAGAGGTGACACACGAACTCATTTTTTGGGTTGAGTTTTCTTTGTTAAATGGCATTTAAATATATAAAATAAATATCAAAAATATAAATCTTTGTTTTACTATGGTTGCAGATATCAAAAAATTTCTATATGTGACACGGCACCAGAGTTAAGTTAGGGTTTTTCAAAATGCTGACACGCCAAGCTCAAAAGGTTTGCCATCACTGAAGCCTTTACTTTTTCTGAGGGGACAGGTGGCTTTGCCTCCTTTTGTCACTCCCATTGTGCTGTAAGTTAAAAAATAAAATAAAGGAGATAAGACTGAATAGACAGTGTAATTGCAATGTATTTAAAAAAAACTATGATAACATTAGGATTCAATGAAAATATACCAAAATATTATTGATTATTTCTACCTTGCTACAATTTCTTTACTACACTTTATTTATTGAATGAATATTAAATAAATGTGCAAATAAATAGATAAATGGATTTTTGTTATTGTGGTACAATTATAGATTTTTACTTTTCTGTTTTCCAAATTTCTTTAATATGTTTGTACAACTGACTCTAGGTGTTATATCACTGTTTCCGGTTCAAGTTGGCTGACCAACAGTGCATATTTATCTCTTCTTCCCCAAGGAGCTCATTATGATGATAAAGGAATTTATTTTCAAAAAGGTATAAAACTCAAACATGAAGAGAATGGCAGAGAGCAGTCCATGGCTGAGAGATTATACTTCTGGATTACAGAACTGGTGCTGGAATAGGTACTGAACAAAGAGGACAGGGGACAGTGCAGTACAGAATATGCAGAGAGGGAGAATAAGGCCAAAGGGACAGCCACCCCTTTCTGTAGAACCTGGGAGTATCTCAGGAATGGGAAACACCAGGTCATACCAAGAGCAAGGTATTGAGAGGATGGGTATCCTAGAATTCAAGGGAAAAATCTTGACACTATTTTACCAGTTATGTAAATGGTTTAGGAATGAGGGTGGAGGAGGGAATAGGAGTGTCATCTGACTTTTAATTATTTGGTTATTATTATTATTATTCCAGCACAGGCCTGCCCATATGGAAGCTGGGATTCCTTTATGATCTAGGAGAATAATTGTGGCAGTTATGCGGGCGCAGACTGAGTTGCCTCATTAAAAAGGATGCAGTGACTGGCAAATCTTAAAACAAAACCTTGCCTTCACTTGGGGCACATTGCTGTTTCACTTTCTCTTGAAACAGATAAAAAGTAGCCCAGGCAGCCTGGCTGTCATGGCTCAGTGGTTGAGCATCGACCTAAGAACCAAGAGGTCACGGTTCAATTCCTGGTCAAAGCACATGCCAGGGTTTTGGGCTCCAATCCCAGTCGGGGGCATGCAGGAGGCAACTGATCAATGATTCTCTCTCATTATTGATGTTTCTCTCTTTCCTCTTTCTTTCCAATCTGATATCCATTAAAAAATATATAAATATTTTTAAAAAGTAGCCAGGCTAGCCATTCCAAATTAAATTAAATCTTAAAATTCCAACAAAAAGATTGGTCTTATTTGCTGAGGTTCTAGTAAAATGGTTTACAATGATCGGGAATCAGAAGGGGAAAATGTTAGGTTAAGTGAAAGAAATAACTTCCTAACAACTAGGGGAGGGGTGGGCAACCCCGGCACACGTGCCAAACATGGCACTCCAGTAACTTTTGCTGGCATGCAAAACCCTCTTCCATTTACAATTTTTTTCTTAATATCAACTTTTTTATTTTTCAGATAAATTCAGTGTAGGTGCATCTTAGATAAATAAATAATTTTACATAACAAGTTATCATAAAGACCATAGACATGGCTGACTTTGAAATGCAGTTGATTGAATTTCAGAGTAGCTCAATTTGGAAGCAGAAATTTATTGACCTTAGAGTTAACTTGGAAAACATTGAAAAAAAGCAATTAGAGACAGGAGTACCAGAGAGAAGTGTCGAAAACAAACTATTGAGGACTTGGAATGCCATTCCAGAAAATTTTTTCTGTTTAAAAAACTTTGCAACAGCGTTACTCTCCATGTTTTCATCCACATACGCTTGTGAATCTTTGTTCTCAGTGATGAATTTTGTTAAGTCTCGTAATAGGAGTAGCCTGACGGATGAAAGTAGTAGTTCGTGCATATCTCTGAAGGTCACGAAATATAAACCTGATGTAAAATCTCTGTCATCAGTGATGCAGCAGCAAAAGTCCCACTGATAATATCAAACGGATATCAAACGGACTATCAGTGTACATGTATACATTAAAAAATAAATGTATTTTTCATCATCATATACTGTGTTTTTGTCGCTCAAATGAATTTTATTATTTCTTCAAGGTTCTTCACATACGTACACCTTAAGAGATATCAAGTAGGCGTAACATGTTCTCAAAAAATTAGGGTTGGCACGCAGAATTTTGAGCCAGAGATTTTGCTGGTTTTGGCACGCACTCACAAAAAGGTTGCCCACCCCTGAACTAGGGCAATACAAAAGTGGAACAGGCTATTCTGTGCGGTAGCAAATCAGCATTAATTGAGAACTGGTATGCTAATCAATGTTATAAAACTGTCAGCCTTGCAGATGCACACAAGTCTAGTTTTAGTATATGTTGGAAAAAAGTGTTGTCTTAATGTTCCATGAATTATCTACCGAGCAATCAACTCTTCAGCTTCCCAAACACTTCTCTGCCAGTCCCTGATTTGATCAACTCTGCTGGTCACTGCCCATAACTAAAGGCAGTCTCCATGAAAAGAAGCTATCCCCTCAGGATAGTGCCAGAGGTTTGAGAGGGGCAAGCCTTCTATAAGAATAAACATTAGTTTAATTTTTGTTTTGTTTTGTTAATCCTCACTCGAGGATACTTTTCCATTGATTTTTTTAAATTTTATTTTATTTTTTAAATATATTTTATTGATTTTTTACAGAGAGGAAGGGAGAGAGATAGAGAGTCAGAAACATCGATGAGAGAGAAACATCGATCAGCTGCCTCCCGCACATCTCCCACTGGGGATGTGCCCGCAACCAAGGTACATGCCCTTGACCAAATCGAACCTGGGACCTTTCAGTCCGCAGGTTGACGCTCTATCCACTGAGCCAAACCGGTTTCGGCCCACTGATTTTTTTTTAGAGAGTGGAAGGGAGGAGAGACAGATTGGTTTATCTGACCACAGGTTTGTTTGACTTGCACCGTTTCTTAAGAAACCTCACATTAAGAAAAAATCTAGATATTTAGCAAGTAGAAGATGGAAGACTGGAGGCAGACAGACCCAGTTAGGAAGGAAATCATTGACATAATCCAAGTTGACCTGAGGCCTGAAGGCAAGCTGCAGTGGTGATGGAGAAGAGAAACTGACTAGAAATAGTGAGTGACTAAATGTGGAGGTGAAGGAAAAAGAGAAGTCAAAAGAGTCCCAGATTTGTTGCTTGAATTGATAATGTGGATAAGCAATGCAGGAAAGTGATACATGGGAGGATGGGAATGGGTGCTATAAAGTCTGAGGTGTCTGTAGCTATACAGGTGATGACGTCCACTTGGCATCTGGACAAGAGTCAGGAATCAGGCAGAAGGTCAAGGCAGGAGAGAAAGACGGGAACTGTCAGCATTTATGATATATCAGAAGACACTGTGATGTATAATATCACACAGAAGTATGCAGAGTACAAAAAAGAGCAGTGACATAGCCCTAAGAATCCCCAATAGTTAAATGGAGAGAAGCTTATCAGCCTGGAGCAGGCAGAGGTAATGACCTGAGGGTGGGGTTTAGCAGCACAGAGATGAAGAGAATTAGAATGTGAGGAATTGAGGTGCTGGCAAATGTTTAGTACAAATTATGTACCACAGGTTCCAGGTTGGATAGGGAAGAAAGTATAGAAGGATGAATCAGTGTAGGGTTGCCAGAGTTATCAGGAAAAAAAGGAACATTCAGTTAAATTGGAATTTTAGATAAATAATACCTTCCTTTTCAGTATAAATATGGCCCAAATGTTATATGGCTCATGTTTACACAAAATTTTTTTTGTTAATCTGAAATTCAAATTTAACTGGGTGTTCTGTATCTTATCTGGCAACCATAATTAGGTGGTTGGAGTCTGGGAGCTATCTTGAGGTCAAAGGGCAAGGACATGGTGTTCAGGAGTGAGAAAGCTGAATATTCAAACACTGTATTTTAGGATTTCAGAGATGGAAGGGTAATGAAAAAGATCAAGAAGGATCCATTGGAGTTTGTGGATGAAACTGAATGGAAATGCAGGTCCAAGAACACTGAGGCCAAAATACTGGATGGCCATTACATTTAACTGATGTCAGTTAAAATGATGGCTGGAGGGTAGATGAGATAAAAATAAGCCAACTATCAAAGAAAGGAATCTAGTATTTTAATATTTTATTATTTTAAATTTTTTAATTGATTTTAGAGAGAGAGAGAGAGGGAGAGAGAGAGAGAAATATCAATGAGAGAAACATTGATCAGCTCCTTCCTGCATGGCCCCCACTAGGGATCAAGCCTGCAACCTGGGTATGTGCCCTGACTGGGAATCAAGCTAGCGACTTCTTAGTTCATGGGTTGATGTTCAATCAACTGAGTCACACCAGCCGGCCTGGCAGGAATCTAGTCTTGATAGGGAAGAGACGGTAGGCTTCTCTAAGGAAGTGAGCCTTGGCTTGCACCGATATCCAAAGGATGTGAGGTCTCACAAGCACCTCATGTTCATCAGGACATGTCAAACGGTATCCCAAACTTGTCATTCTTCCTGTGTTTCCTTGCTCAGTAAATGGTATCACTGTCCATCAAGTCATGCAAGTTAGAAATATAGGAGTTATTCATGATATCTGCTTCTGTTATGGCCATTACATAATTGCTTGTTATCCAAACCATCGTAAAAGCAGTTGGTAAAGAAAAAAGCATTCCAGGCAGAGGGAACAATATATACAATAGTTCTATGTTGAAAGATAGCATGGCCCTGACCGGTTTGGCTCAGTGGATAAAGCGTCGGCCTACGGACTGAGGAGTCCCGGGTTCGATTCCGGTCAAGGGCATGTACCTTGGTTGTGGGCACATCCCCAGTAGGGGGTGTGCAGGATGCAGCTGATCAATGTTTCTCTCTCATTGATGTTTCTAACTCTCTATCCCTCTTCCTTCCTCTCTGTAAAAAAATCAATAAAAATATATTTTAAAAAAAAGAAAAAAAGAAAGATAGCATGGTGCAATCTGCTAATTAAAGACCTTTTCCCTCTCTCTCTTTCCTCTAATTTTTCTTTCTCTTTTTTCATTCAAAAAGAAAAAAAGAAAGATAGCATGTTGCAATCTGCTAATTAAAGACCTTTTCCCTCTCTTTCCTCTAATTTTTCTTTCTCTTTTTTCATTCTTTTATTATCATTTTGCTTTTTTATTTTTATTTTTTCATTTTAAAGACCCTTTCTTTTGACATGGAAGAGGAAGGGTCTAGATCATGATGGGTCTTATAGTCATATTAAGAATTTTGTCCTTTAACCTAAGAGCAATGAAAACCATTGACAGGTTTGAAGCAGGGAAAAGTGATATGAACAGATTTAGGTTTTGAAAAGGGCATTCTGGCCCTACCTGGTTTGGCTCAATGGATAGAGCGTTGGCTTATGGACTGAAGGGTCCCAGGTTCAATTCCAGTCAAGGGCACATGCCCGGGTTTCGGACTTGATCCCCAATAGGTGGTGTGCAGGAGGCAGCCGATCAATGATTCTCTCTCATCATGGATGTTTCTTTCTCTCTCTCTCTCTCTCTCTTCCTCTCTGAAATAAAAATGTTAAAAAAAGAGCATTCTGGGTAGAATAGAGAACAGATTTGAGAAAATTAGAATACCTATAATGAGACCAGAAAAGGCTAGTATAGTCTTTCAGGTGAGAGGAGGTAGTACTTGGAATAGGGTGGCAACAGTAGACATGAAGAGAAGTGGGTGGTTTTAGTGCCAGCAGAGATGAAGCCAGTAGGAATTGGTGATGGTGGGAATTATCTCCTAGTTCAATGTTGTTAGTAATGATCTAGTTCAGTGATGGCGAACCTTTTGAGCTCGGCGTGTCAGCATTTTGAAAAACCCTAACTTAACTCTGGTGCCATGTCACATATAGAAATTTTTTGATATCTGCAACCATAGTAAAACAAAGACTTATATTTTTGATATTTATTTTATATATTTAAATGCCATTTAACAAAGAAAAATCAACCAAAAAAATGAGTTCGCGTGTCACCTCTGACACGCGTGTCATAGGTTCGCCATCACTGATCTAGTTGAAAGGGAATGGCTGAATACATGGGAGAGAAGAGATAACTGGGTATGTTTTATAATAGTGCTGCTGTTAGACCTGGGTAAGGACCCTCTTTCTACTGCAAAGGGCAAGGTGTCTATGAAATCAAAAGGTCATGCTTGCCGGAAGCCTGCACTCCTCTTTTTTATAATATATTTTCATTGATTTCAGAGAAGAAGGAAGAGCGAGAGATAGATAGAAACATAAATGAGAGAGAATCACTGATCAGCTGGTTGCCTCCTGCACACCCCCTACTGGGGATCAAGCCCACACCCTGGGCATGTGGGCATGTGCCCTTGACCGGAATTGAATCCAGGACCCTTCAGTCCACAGGCCGACACTGAGCCAAACCAGCTGGGGCACCTGCACTCCTCTTTTAGACTGGCTAGATCTGAGGGCAGACCTAGTTCTTGATTACACATCACTATTTGCAGGGGTTGAGGAGTGTGGAGATAAGCTTGGACATGTTGATTGCATTAATTTATGGCCCCTTTTGGTGTGGCAGGTGAAGAAGCTAGGAATTGGGAAGAGAAGAGGGTCAGTCCATCTCTCCAAGTCTGAAAATTTGACCTTCAGGATTATTATTTAAGCAGATTTCTCAAGGTAGCAAAGTAGAATTCTATCTAATAATAGACAAACATGGTAATTGACAGTACCTTCGCTACGCATCCATTGGCTAATCAATGCAATATGCAAATTAACTGCCAACAAAGATGGCGGCTAATTTGCATACTGCAGACAGGGCAGGACAGCGCCATCGACGCCATCTGGGCCTGCTATCTGCAACCCAGGGTGGCGGGTGTCCGTGTGCGACCCGACCTGGGGCGGCAGGGCGGGGCAGCAGCGATCAGCCAGCCC